CCTGGCTGACAACAGCATCAGTGTGGTCGCAATGTGGTGTCACAAACCTGGAGCTTAATTATATTATCTCAGGCAAGCTGCTGAAGCGCTCTGCACCCAGTGTCCTCACCTGTGGCGTGGTTATGATGCTACTCGTACACGAAGTGATTGTGAGGGATAGGTGCGCGCGTGTGTGAGTGAGTGTAATGCTCATAGCACAATGCTCGAGAGGCGCAGCCATCGTCCTCAGGGGTAGAGTTGTTCTGAAGGCCTGGGTGTGGCTCCGCTAGAGGGCTTGCTTAGTACTGTTGAGGCGCTGGGTAGAGCTGCACAAAAAAAACCCTGAAGCTGATAGAATTGTACCCACTGGAACTCTAAATGGGCCCTCTTGTCCTTCAGGACCAGCTACAGATGTGGATTCGAGGCAACGTGAGTGCCTGTGCTCGGTCCATCTTCATCTTTGACGAGATGGACAAGATGCACGCAGGCCTCATTGATGCCATTAAGCCTTTCCTAGACTACTATGATGTGGTAGATGATGTCTCCTATCAGAAGGCCATCTTCATCTTCCTCAGGTGAGGCTGTGGCTGGGATATGGTGGGAGACCCTTGCACCTGTGCCTGGGGGCTTGGGGAGAAGTGCAGCCCCTTCTTGCTGCAATTATTTCTGCAGCAATGCGGGGGCAGAAAGGATCACAGATGTGGCTTTGGAGTTCTGGAAAAGTGGCAAGCAGAGGGAAGAAATCAAGCTTAGAGACATGGAGCATGCTCTGGCCGTGTCGGTCTTCAATAACAAGAACAGTAAGTATAGCCATTCCTCAAGAATCTGATCCCTAGCCCTACACCCTTATGTCTTTCCAGCCTAGGAGCCAAACTTAATGTAGCCTCAGTGTTCCCCCGGGCCTGCCGACTCTGAGTGAGATCTGCTAACAAACCGCAGATCTTATAAACTCCGAAGTTGGGCTACACCATTGATACCTAGTTGGGACAGGGTTTGAGCTCCATTCCTTGTAGAGGAAAAGCAGGAGGTTGAGCCAGGAGAAGTCCACTGTATGACTGCAGGGAAGCTGGGAACTGGGTAAGGCCTTTCCCTTTGCAGTGCCCTAGGACTCTACCCAGGCATGGCTGGGCCTTGCCGCTGTACCAGCCCCTCAGACACTTGACCTGCTCGTTTGCCCTGTGGGGCAGATGGACGCCTGCCGGCCTGTTCTTTACAAAGGACACCGAGGCTCAGTGCAGCTCCTTACAGCCTGTGTTGCACCTCCATCCTGCACTCAGAGCTTTTAACTTTCAGCTCAGCTACTTCTCCAGCTACTGTCAGTCATACAACCTTTGGCCTTGAACCTCAGGTAGGCAGACAGCCATGAGGGTGACTCACTGCCTATCTCACCTGGTCTTTGCTGGTCTCGGGTTGTTGGGCTTTCCTCCTTGGAAACACGTTCACCAAGAAATCTGAATCGAAGTTAGCTGGCTGGAACAGTGTGTTCTCCCATCCCTGACAAAGGGAAGACAACTGAGGAAAGACGAACATTTTGAAGTCTTTCTTCATGCTCAAAAGGATGAGTGCACACAATAGGAAATACAGATCGATGGGGCAGCAGTACATCAGAGCACTGTGTTGAAGGTCGAGAGGACCTCCCGCAGGGCTGTAGCTGGGATAGACAGTCAAGACATCTGACAGCAATGCTGGGGTGGACAGTGAGAAGAGCAGTCTTAGGGGGTACGTGAGGTGTCCTAACTGGGAGGAGACATTTCACTCGGGACACACATCTGAGTTGGCAGTAAATGGATGTTTTTACTTTTTTTTTTTTTTGGTTTTTCGAGACAGGGTTTTCTCTGTTAGCTTTTGGAGCCTGTCCTGGAACTCACTCTTGTAGACCAGACTGGCCTCGAACTCACAGAGATCCGCCTGACTCTGCCTCCCGAGTGCTGGGATTAAAGGCGTGCCCCACCACCGTCCGGCTTGGATGTTTTTACTTTTATGATGTTCAAATTCGAACCCAGGGCCTCACACATGCCACATAAGTGCCTACCACTAAGCGACACCCCAGCCCACCTAGTGTTTTTTAAGGCTGTGTAACATCTGAAGTCTACTGGTTCTGCTGAGCACTTGGTGGGTTAGGTGGTTGGGTCCTGTCATTCAGGCTGTGTTGGGGTCTCCTCCCCAGCCAGGCCAGTTGCCCCCAGCTACAATCCCAGGGCTCCATGTGTACCTGGTACAGAGTAGCTCTCCAAGACAGCTGCTCACAGTCAGGTTTGTTCTTTTTTTCTTGGCGCTGGGGGGAAGGGGAGAGGTTAAGACAGGGTTTCTTTGTAGCTTTGGGGCCTGTCCCAGAACTCACTCTGTGGACTGGGCTGGCATCGAACTCACAGAAATCCACCTGCCTCTGCTTCCCAAGTGCTGGGATTAAAGGCACGCACTACCACCGCCTGGCCAGTTTTGTTCTTTGCTGTGGCCATAGACAGGGCCCTCACTGAGTACAGTCAGAGTGCAGGGCTCCACTGGGAACTGAGTACATAGACCTTGGGCTCTCTACACAGCTTGTATTGGGAGCCAGGACACAAAGACATGTCATGAGCTTTTGGGGCATCCAGCAGATGCTGAGTCAAGTGTTCTCAGCACTGGGAGGCTGAGCCATGCAGAGCTAGATTTTTGCAGGGAGGCATTTGTCAGAGTCCAGACCTTTAAGGTACACAGCCTCGTCTCTACACATTAGCACCCAGAGGAGTCTAGGTATTGCTTTCAGAATGCTCTGTGTGGTGTGGGCACTGGCAGCAGCAGTGAGCTCCTTAATTGCTGGTCCAGCTAGACGGAGATTGACTGGTGCATTCTCTCTGGGGATACCCCTCCCTTATCTTCGTGCGTCTTCCAACCTGTCTATCCACTTCTCACCACTGCCTGGATCCCAGCACAGTGTGGTACATGCGGCCCGCCAGCCCACCTCCAGAAGAGGCCTTTCCAAGCCCACAGCACTGGTGTCACTTTAAAGCTTGTGTTTTTCATTTTTGTCTGTGTGTGTCTCTGTTGTATGTGTGTGCATGTGAGTGTCCAGAGAGGGAGTTGCATCTACTGGACCCAGAGTTACATGAGGTTATGAGCACTCTGGTGAATATTGGGACCCAACTCAGGTCCTCTGCAAGGAGCAGCAAGCCTTCACTGCCCAGAGGTGGCCCTTGCTGTCAGCAGCATCACAGGGCAGTGTTTGTAGTCAGTTCCCAGCTCCTGTGTCTCTCCCTCACTGTGTGAAGACGGGGTGGTCTCCTGGCTCTACCTCAAAGGCTGGTCCCCACTGGACACTAGTGGATGGACAGATGAATATCGAGAGGCACCTTTTTGTCTTTTTCCCAGGTGGCTTCTGGCACAGCAGCCTCATTGACCGGAACCTCATTGATTATTTTGTCCCCTTCCTGCCCCTGGAGTATAAGCACCTGAAAATGTGCATCAGAGTTGAGATGCAGTCCCGGGGCTATGAAGTAGATGAGGACATTGTAAGCAGAGTGGCCGAGGAGATGACGTTCTTCCCCAAGGAGGAGAGAGTCTTCTCCGACAAGGGCTGCAAGACTGTGTTCACCAAGCTGGACTACTACCTGGATGACTGAGCCCTGCTGCAGACTCTCACCCACAGTCAGGCCTCTCCTCCCAGGAGGATGCTCAGGACACTTCCTGCTGAGGTTACCAGGTATCGCCTTGGGGGCTGTTTCTGCTCCTCAGAGTCCGCAGTTGGTCATGCTGTAGAGACTGCAGACACAGCATGGACCCAGAGCTTCCTGGAGTCTCCAGAGGATGAAACCTCCCAGCCTGCTCATTCCCGGGCTCATGGTATTTTTTTAAAAATTATGTTTTAATTTCAGGTGTTTCTGTTTTGAGGCAGAACAATTAAGTTTTATTGCAATTGTGATAACTTTATTTTAAATGGTTTTTAATATTATGAGAAACCTTTCTGCTGCTGGCTTTGTGTGTCTTTTGAAGCTCTCAGGCTGACACCACCAGTGTTTCTACTGCATAAGTCCAAGCATGGGCACCTGCTGCATGAATGGCATCTTGGGTACTAACATCACCCTGCCAGGGGCTGTGCAGTGATTAGACAAGAGAACCGGATTACTATCACAAATGCACGGGTGTACTCTTCCCTGGACTCAGACGTGAAGTGGGAACAAGCTGAGTGGCACTGTGGGCGTCGGGTCCACCCCAGATGCCTGGCAGGCAGAGCTCCAGATGGGCTTGTTTTATGTACACACGATGCCTGCCAAGGGGTAGGGCTCCTGCGGGTGTGGCTGCTGTTCAGTGCACTCACAGGGCTGGGTTTAGCAAGGCCTAAAGGGCCTGACGGTTCAATAAGTCAAAAACTAGGTCAATTGCTGGCAGAACCACCCTCTGCCTCTGCTACCAGCCTGTTGGGCTTCCGATGATGGTCACATCAGGTCTGACTACTCATCTAAAGATGGAGCACAGTCCTCTGTTCTGCTGAGTCCTGTAGATATGACAGAGTGAGTGCCGTGTTGGGCTCCTGGATGGTCAGCTGAGAAACAAAGGGAGCAGCAGGGTGGCGGTGAAGAGAGCTTACTTTCCAGACTGTTCTGTGATGGGGCAATGCTATCACTGCTGCTGAGAAGCCAGGTCAACAAACAGAACTAGAATCAGGCTCTTTACCAGTTCTGGGCAGGAAGAGCCAGCACTCAGATCTCTTCTCTTGAGCTAGAATGGAGACAGCTATGGCCAGGTAGAGATCACCATTAGGAGGATGTTATATCTCTGGCAGCTCCCTGCCTCTGAACTCCAGAGCTGCTCAGGAAGGTAGAGAACTCAGGAGGTGCCCAACTTTGACCTCTACATGTATGTGCATGCATGTGATTGCCTACCCCTCATAAGTGCAAACATACCAAAAGCCCAAAAGCAAACATTGATTTTTGTGTGATTCAGTCAACCTGTGCATCCAGGTATGGAAAGGTAAGAATACATGGGTAGCTCTAGAGCCTTCATTCTGAGCTCAGTTTGCTGCCATACAAACGAGGGAAACTTAGTAAAAGTGACATTGCACTGGCTTTATTAGTCTGCGTCCAGCTCTCTTCAAGCCTTCTCACAGGCAGGGTGGGGAGGCTGGGGCAGGCCTGGCCTTTCCAGGTTACAGATCAATAACAGCAGCAGTCCAAAGGTGGCCAACACGTGTCCACATATTGCATCATTGTAAACAGAAAAGCTTGTTTCTTCTTGACAGGGACTCAACAGGTTAAATGGTGACTTGGCTCCAACTCAACAACATGACATGGAAGTCAGCCTCACTCTGGCAGGCTTTGTCTCCTCTTTGCTTTGACACAGGGTATGTAGCTCGGCTGGTTTTAAACTCGTCTTCCTAAAGTGCTAAGATTACAGGCATGTACACCACGGGCCTGCTATTCCCTTGTGTGGTGGCCTAGACTGGCCTCAAAGTTTGAGAATCCTACCATGGCCTCCCACGTACTGGGACTAAAGGTGTGCACCACCACACCCAGTTCACCTTGGCTTTTTGTTTGTTTGTTTTTTGCCTACTACTCTACGTACTTTACGTAGACAGTGGGATACTGTGTGTGAGTCGTTCTGCAGGCCGCCGGGCGGCACTGACTGACGGTCACAGAACTACATGCGGTGCCAGGCCGAGAATCGAACTCGGGCGGAGCGGTTGGGCGCTCTGCCCCCTGAGCCGTCTCTCTGGCTGTTACTTTGGCATTTTTAAAAGACTAAATGTGATTCTCTATAAGGCGTTTCCATGTTAGAAAAATAGTCATTCCCCCACATTCTGTAAACACAGGGCAGAGTTCTCATGTCTGTGGCAGCACGGAGACTGTGGGACAGAGCGGCTCAAAAGGCCGGAACTGCAGCCCAGCTTTCCTACCGTCAGAGCAGCCTGGCCCAGTGCTGCCTAAGGACATGACCCTGAGAGTACATCCGGGACCCACCACAAACTGGGGGACCATGGAGTCTAAAATTGTGTCCATTTCATTCCACGCTGCACATTTGGCCCTAACACCCCCCCCCTTAAAGAGTTTCATGTAGCTCAAGCTGGCCTCAAATTCACAACACAGCAGAGGAACCCTGAATCCTGATCTTCCTGCTAGGATGATGGGCATTGTGCCCCCACACCCACCAACAATAAAAGCCTGGGAATACTAAGAATACTTATTCTATTTTATGTCCTTCCTAAGTTTTTGGTTTTTGAGACAGGGTTTCTCTATGTAACAGCCCTGGCTGTTCTGAAACTCACTTTGTAGATCAGGCTGCCCTCAAATTTAGAGGTCCACCTGCCTCACTCCAAGTGCTAAAGACTTGGGCCACTACCACCACTGACTGGGCACTTCTTAGGTTTTAAAATACATGGCACCTTATACTTTATTTCCTAAGGTTTAGAAGTAAAAACATGTTTTAAAAATATTCATGTTCTTTAAAAAAAAAAAAAACCCGACATCTCTGGTATGTGTGGTCACTCCTTTGGACGGAGTCTGAGCATACTGTGTGTGGCCAGGCGGGCCCTGCCCAGAGCTCACTCTTCCTATGCATGCTGTACCTTCAGAGTAAGTTTAACAGGCAAACAGGAACCAAAGACCTCCAAAGCTTCAGTCTTTTCTGACAGGACCAGGATGAGGCTAGGACGAGGTCGAAGGCAGGCTATAACCCATACACAGTAGGAGACAGTCGAGAGAATTCCACAGCGGGGGCTGCGAGAGCAGCAGCTAAGGTAAGGTATAGCCTCAAAAGGCTGTGTCCCAGTGTACCACAGGAGCCTCAGGGGGAGCCCCCACTACTCACACGGACAGTTCAGCCAAGATCAAGTCCACATACATGCTCCCCTCAGGGATCAAGCATCTGTCAATGCCACCAGCTTCTGAAAACTGTCATAGAGTGCCAGCTCAGGGCAAGGAAAAAACAAAAAACAGAAACAACAAACACAGGTGGGTGCTCCTGGAAGGAAAGATCTGGTTCCTCAAGGCTGTAGCCCATTAGTGGCACCTGAGGCACGGGTACCTTGGCCACATAGGATCTGTGTTAGGCCTCCTGTATTCAGATGTTTCTAGGCACTTGGTTCACAGTAGCAGTGTTAGGTTCTAAAAGTTCATCTTGAGCTGCTGCCGTGCAGCACTGATAGCAGCCCCAGAGTCCACAGGTGCAAATGTGCAAAGCCCCAAGGGGGTCTTCAGAGTGTTTCCACAAGGCAAGGCCCTAAAGGGGGTGGGAGGCGGCCCTGAAGGGGGTGAAGAGCTCAGTAGAAACCTAGCCGTGACTGCACCGTCTTGCAGCCCTTGTCTGAATAGATCTTCTCTTCCTTGGGGAAAAATGTCATTTCATCTGCCACCCTGGTGACGATGTCTTCATTGACGGCATCCCCTCGGGCCCGCATCTCTGCCCGCACACACATCTTCACGTGTTTGTACTCCAAGGGCAGGAAGGGGATAAAGTAGTCAATGAGTTTCTTGTCTATCAGTCCACTGTGCCACAGACCACCTGCAGAACAAGACAGGGTCTCCTGTCACTGCCACCTGGACACACCCATCTGAGATCCCGGTTCATAGTCCATCCTTCATGTCTTTTCAAGACAGGGTTTCTCTGTAGCTTTGGGGCCTGTCCCGGAACTCACTCTGTAGACCAGGCTGGCCTCAAACTCACAGAGATCTGCCTGCCTCTGCCTCCTGAGTGCTGGGATTAAAGGCGTGTGCCACAACCACCCAGCCATCCTCCATAGCTTTACCCTTCCAGAGACTCTGCAAGTGACATACACCCTCATAATACCCTAAGAAAACTCCCTATGGCAGCAAAGGCGCAAGCAAGAGTGACACAGAGCACTGGGTGCCCCTCACCCAGTCCCTAATGGACTCACTGTGTTTGTTGTTGAAGACGCCCACGGACAGCACAGACTCCAGGTCCTTCAGCTGGATCTCTTCCCTCTTTCTTCCTGCCCGCCAGAAGTCCAGGGCGGTCTGAGTTATCAGGTCCCCGCCTGCATTACTGAGTTGGCCAGAGATGTAAAGACCAATATCACACTTCAGTTATCCCCACCTCTTTGCCAAATGCACTCAGCCAAAGCTCATAAGGTATCACCACAGCACCGCATGACACCCCCACTTCCACTGCTCCAGAGATTTGTTTCTTTGAGATAGGTTTCTCTACTCTGTAGACCAGGGTGGCCTTGAATTTAACTCCCAAGTGCTGGGATTAAAGGTGTGTGCCACCACCACCACCCAGCTAGTGCTCTGAAGCTTTAATTCAGGACTATCTGCAACATGCTACAAGGGCAAAAGCATGTCTGCCTGCAAGAATGTAAATGCTTGCTTGGAGGGGCTGGCAGGGGCACCAAGTGCCTCACTGAGGGATCACTCTGGCTGATTCCCGACCCAGTTCTGTGCCAGACTGACACTGGGAAGTGAAACTTGACAAATGAGCCTACGGCTTTGCCAAGCTGGCAGTTCTGTCCTGGATGGCCAGGAGAACCGCATTCTAAGACTGATAGTGCCTGAGAAGCCTCCTTGGCTGACCTGAGGAAGATGAAGACGGCTTTGCGGTAGGAAATCCCATCCACCTGCTCATAGTAGTCGAGGAAGGGCTTGATTGCATCAATGATCCCGGGATGCAACTTATCCATCTCGTCGAAGATGAAGACGGAGGTGCCACACTCGCTCACATTGCCTCGGATCCACTTCTGAAGCTGGTCCTAGACCAACCATAAAGAGAGGCACAGCTCAGAGGATGAGGGCGCAGGGCTTCCTGGGCTTTGAGAAGCCATCAGCTGCATTTGTCCCCACACAGCAGGTAGACACTTTCCAAGCTACCACAGATGGAAAGGCCATCTAAGCCTGGCCACCTGAGTTCAACCCCCGGGACCCACATGGTGGAAGGAGAGCCGCCTTCCACAGATCATCTACCAACCTCTACATATATGCCCACGGCAATGCTGGCACATGCACCTGTAACCTCAGCCTTCCGCAACAAAATGGGAAGTAGAGAATTGGGCAGAAGCTGGTTGGCCAACTCACCCAACATATAGTACAGCAGCCTCAAACAAGGAAGAAGGTAAGAGCCCTGGAGCTGCTTCTGTCGGGGCATCTTACTACAGCAACAGCAAAGAGACCAAGACGCCAGCCAGGCACAGAGCCACGACAACTGGACTCAGACCTTCACAGTGCAATGGCCACAGCTTTGGACTGACGTGGTGAGTATAGGAGCAGTCCTGGCCGACAGGAAAAGCACGGGACTACATTGCTAGCCCCTTTGCTTTCTTGCAACACCCAAGAAACAGCCTCTCATCCCCTGTATGGGGGGAGGCCACAACCATGAACCACGCCCTGCAAATACTGTAGTCCGAGAGATCTATAATAAAATGTGGAAAACATGATCATTATGTTTGTGGTGGGGGCTGTAATCTGGTGGCAACAGCATGTCCTCAGCATGAACAAGCCTTGCTTTCTATCCCCAGCACCTAAAAAACAACTATGCCTTCCTCCCTTTGGCACTCCTCCCTGCCTTCAAAGATTCACTTTCATTTCCTTCTTCCCTTAGCTTCTGTTTGTTAGCCAGTTCCTGGAAGGACCAACAGCCAGTCAGCTAACTCTGAAGCAGCCAATGCTCTGTGCACAGATCACACAAGGAGAAACAGTCTGGAGGTGTGGTTTTTTGAGACCCGAGGATGGAAGGAGCCAAGGGAATCAAAACTGTACCCTGCAAAATGCAGGGCCAAACCCAGGCTGCAGCACAGGGGAGAGCTTTCGATGATGCCATTAGACTGCCCCACCTAACACCCTTTGCTCTGCTGGGAAGGAGAGTCACTTTCTAGGTGCCTAGGATCCAGATGGGAGGCATTGATTGCAGGCCATACAAATCAGTCACCTTGCCTCTCATCTTTTCTTGTTCTAGCTCCTTCTTCTTCCCCCAAATTCCAGGGAATGAACCTATGGCCCAAACACTAGCTGGTTCCATCCCCCCCCCTTTTTCAGTCAAAGTTTCTCTATGTAGCCCTGGTTGTCCTGAAACTTCCTCAGGTAGACCAGGCTGGCCTTGAACTCAGATCCACCTGTTGGAATTAAAAGCAGGTGCCACCATGCCCAGCTGCTGGCTCCTTCTTTTAATGTTCATAGCATTCCTTACCTCACTGGATTATTCTGGAATAGCATTTTAAGAGAAGGTGCTGTGCAGTGGTGGCACACACCTTTAGTCCCAGCGCTCAGGAGGCAGAGGCAGGCAGATCTTTGTGAGTTCAAGGCCAGTATGGTCTACAGAGCGAGTTCCAGGTCAGCCACACAGAGAAACCCTGTCTCAAAAAACAAAACAAACAATAAATAAATAGAAGGCTGGGCATGGTGAGGCACACCTATAATCCTGGCACTAAGGTGGGGGTAGAAGAATCAGAAGTTCAAAGCCAGCCTCAGCTACATAGTGAATTTGATGCCAACCTGGGCTACATGACCCTAACTAAGCCCCCCCCCCCCGCCACACACACACACGCTTTAAGATGGGCAAAAGTGGTGGATGCCTGTTAATCTCAGTCCTCAGAAAGCTGGGGCAGTCGGATCCAGCCTGGGCTACACAATGAGACCTTAACTCAAAAAGCATAAATATGGCCTTGGCATGGCAGCCCACAGCTTTGGTCCCAGCACTCGGGAGACAGAGTTACACAGTGAGACTCTGAGCAAACAACAGAGAGGGACAAGCGAGGACGGAGCTACTGCAAGGCAGAGAGAAGCAGAGGCCCAGATATATGAGCGGGTAGCAAAGGTTTTCTTGCCTGGTACAGTTTTGTCTTCTGCTCATGAGGGAAGTGCAGAGTAGAGACAAACAGGTGGACAAAATTACTCTTCAGGCCTTTTGGGTGAAGGTTTTCAGCCACAATTTGGCTGACAAAATTCTTGCCCGTGCCAGCCCAGCCGTGCAAGGACAGAGTCAGTGCTTTCTTGGGATTTTTATTGTTCTTGAAGCCGGTCACTGCCTTGAGAATCACTTCGGTGGCGAGGTGCTGTCCAAACAGCTTTGCCTCCAAGTCCAGCTTGAGGGCTGCGGAGGTCAGCCCGAAACAGAAAGAAAAATATACATTAAAAAAAGCACCTGAAACTGGCCGGAGAGAGGCACAGCTTAGCGGCTGATCCAAGTTTCAGAGCCCGAACCTTAAGGATCTATAATCAGACCCTTTAAGCGGCAGTTCTTAACTCTTAAGTGTCTGACAATGAAGCTACGCGGACTTTTTCATCCAAAGAGACATTTCGCCGCTGAGCTCCGTGCTAGCTTTCCCGCCACCCCTGTCGGCTGGGGGGGGAGGGGGGAAAGGCAAGAGCCAAAGGCGGGCGGGCTTTCAGGGTGGAGGTGCACGCCTGACCCCGAGTGACAGGGCGCACAGGCAGCCCAGCTGCGTCCAGTCCTCCGGGCGGTCACTGCAAAGAAGGCCTGCGAAAGTGTGGCGAGTCTGTGTCCCGCGACGCGTCGGGCTGGAGGTGGAACCGAACGCCCGGCGCTATCCCGCCCGCCCCGACCTGCCCGCGGGCACGTACCAGACGCATTGAGGGTCCGTTCCTCGTGGCAGCACTCGGAGAAGCGGCAGAACGCGCCCGAGTAGGACAGGTAGGACAGGTAGGACATGGCCCCGATGGCGACAGCCACTGTCACCGGCTCGATCGCCGCCGCGACGCGGGCGGCCAGCAGAGCCCACAGGGCCGCGGAGCCCACGAACGCCCTGATGCCCCGCATCGCGTGCCACCCACAGAAGTAATGCCGCGCTCGAATTCAGTCCCAGAAGAGCTGCAGACCTGCTTCCGGTACTGCACGTCACTTCCGCCTGCCGAAAGAGCGGCCGCACTGGAAAGGGGCGGGAGGCTTAATGCACCTTCTTTCTTTGTGAGCGCTCTGAAACCCTATAGGATCCTGTCTGTATTCTCCTCCGCCCACCCCAGGGTTTCTCTGTTTATCCCTGGCTAACCTGGAACTCGTTCTGTAGACCAGGCTGGCCTTGAACTCACAGAGATCCGCCTGCCTCTGCCTCCCGAGTGCAGGGATTAAAGGCGTGCATGCACACGCCTGACACACAACAGGCAAAACACTCTATACACATAAAATAATTGAAAAACATACATAGAGACAGGCAGCGGTGATGCATGCCTTTAACTAGCTCTCGTAACTTAAATAACCCAAATCTTTTAATCTACATTCTTTAATGTGGCTTTGTTACCTTTACTCTGTTCCGCCTATGCTGCTTCCTCCTTGTCTCCTGGCATCTCCTTTTTCCCAGTGCACCATGCCTGCACAGCAAGGGCTCAACAGAGCCATCACTATAGACCTTCTTATTCTTCAGCAACCGCTCTACCACTAAACTACACCCCAAATTCGCAGGACCTTTTGTTTGTTTGTTTGTTTGTTTGTTTGTTTGTGACAGGGTTTCTCCGTGTAGGCTTAGCTGTCCTGGCAAACTCAGGTCTGCCGGCTTCTGCCTCCCAAGTGCTGGGATTAAAGGCATGCGCCACCACTGCCCGACTGATAGGACCTTTTTAAGAGCCTCTCAGAATCCCAAATTTGGGGTTTGTCATCCTGTCTCATTTCCCCTGGACTGTGATGAGCACTCTCACATCTGCCCGCCTCTAGCCCTCTAGCCCTCCTGAACAGCTGGCAAGCCCTCTTGGTGCGAGGCCCAGGGCTGAGCATCCGGGATATGGAGCACTTAGAGATACATGCTGGGGTTTCACAAGTAAATTCAGACATTCGTTCATGCTGCATGCCACATGGAAGGCCCCAGGCTGCTTTCTGGGAAGACAACAGCAGTGCAGCAGACAGACTTGGTCCTGCCTTTCAGGACTTACAGGCTTTTGGGGAGGCAGGTAAGGGGACAAGGAACAATAATGGAGCCATCAGAGTTCAGGGACCCTGGAATAGGTAAAGCCTTTGCCCAAGTTGGAGATTAAAGGTGTTGTCCAAACAAAAACCTAAGGAGTTTGCCAACCAAAAACCAAGCAGTGGTATGGTCTATTAGAGAGTGGGGCTCGTAGACAGTCTGAGGAGCTGAGGACAGCACACATCGTGGAGAGTACTGGGAGGTGAGAATCCAGGACAGTGCAGGGACCAGAAGACTTGCAGACACTGAACGAAGTTAGCTCGTGCTCTGGAGTAGAGTCGGGAGTCACAGGCTCCCAATAAGGACAACACAGCCTGCTCAGAGATCATTCACCAGAGAGAAAGACTGTCACAGCGGTCCACTTATTCTTAGCCCAGGCTTTGCCAAACTTGATTGAGTTCTTTAGGCAGCCAATGTGCAACAGATATCTCATGAACTCTGGCTGTGGGTGAGACCCAGCACCATGTCCAGTACCAGGTCTACATCAGGGGACAGGACAGGTGTTCCTGACCTCATGACAGAGCCACTGGCTATGACTGTTCTTATCTTTGGGGTTTTAGGGCAAAAGCTAAGGCCCCCAGGGATCCTGAAGGTTGATCTTGGTGACCTGTCCCAGTGTAATAATTAAAGTGATGATTAATAGTGATTATGAAAGAGTTTTTAATCAACGTATCACATTAGGAAGCGTAGCAGATAAGGGAACCAGTGACCCCAAGTCCATCTTCTGGATAGTGGCACAGACTTTAGCTTTAGATAGAAGAGGACTTGGGACAAGGGACAAGAGGCATGCACATAGTTAAGCACTTCTGGTTAAAGGGTGGTCTGGTTGATCATTAACTCAGTTCTAGTTCTGGAGGATGACTTCCAGGAATCTATACTCTTTAAAGGAACAAGTCAGTTGTCAGGAGCTTGCTCCAGCCATCCTTTCAGAGACAATTGTCTTCACAGGATGCTGTGCTGGCTCACCCGTGATTGCAGTTGGTGTAGGTCCCTTGTCATATGGATGTTGATTGATCAGGCCTGTTCCAGAAATCCAGGCTGATTGAAGGGTTAGGACAATGACTGGAGCCCATTTTGGCATTCTGAAATACAAGGCGGTAAAAACTGACAGTAAATCAGGCGTGGTGGTACACAGAAGCGAGACAGGTGGGTCTCTGAGTTCAAGGCCAGCCTGGTCTACAGAGTGAATTCCAGGACAGCTAAGGGTGTCACCACACAGAGAAACTCTTATCTAAAAACAAAACAAACAAACAGCAATAAAGTAAAAACCAAAAGACAACAAAAACTGACCGTAGTTACCTGTATCTCAACAATTGGAAGACAGAGGCTAAAAGATTGGGAATTAAAGGCCATCCTTGGCTATACAGTGAATTTGAGGCCAGTCTGGGCTACATAAGACCCTTTCTCAACACACACATACACACATACACACACACACACACAGGAAGGGAGGGAGGGAGACAAGAAGAGAAGAGAAGACACTGGGAGGTGGTGACTCACACTTTTAGCCCAAGCACTCAGGAGACAAAGACAAAGGCAGGCAAGTCTATATGAGTTTGAGGCCAGATTGGTGTACAGAGAGAGTTCTAGGACAGCCAGGGCTGTTACACAGAGAAAACATATCTTGAGAAATCAAAATACCAACTAAACAAACAAAAAGGAAGAGACACAATGAAGTCAGAGTTGCCAGGCTTCACCATGCTTTAGTCATCTTGTGGGACTGCCTCCGAGTAAGGAGACAGTGCCTGTCACATTCTGATCACCTTGGACCTATATTGAGTAGCAGGGGTCAAGTCCATAGAAGGGAAGGGCCAGTTCTGTAGCTGAAACAATGGTCCAAAGGAAGCAACTGATGGCGTGAGCTAAAACACAAGCAGTGGCAGGCAGAGCAAGTCAAGACCTGAGAGCCATAGATTCAGCATCAGGAGAGGATGCTGGCTGCTGAACACTTCCAAGATGGTGCAGTTGTGGAATATTTGTACACTGTGTGACAATGTATTTCTGTGATTGGTGTAATAAAAAGCTGAACGGCCAATAGCTGGACAGGAGGTATTGGCGGGATTTGTGGGCAGAGAGAGAACTCTGGGAAGAAGAAGGCAAAGTCACCAGCCGGACATGAGGAGGCAGCATAAAGAGTCACGTGACAGGAAGTAGGTTAAAGTAAATGGGTTAATTTAAGTTATAAGAGTTAGTGGAACAAACTTAAGCTAAGGCCAAGATTTCATAGTTAATAATAAATCTCTGTGATATTATTCGGGAGCTGGCAGTACAGAGAAAGATTCATTACATAGCACCTTCTTGCTGTGTCCTCCATGCAGAAGGTAAAAGGACAAGGAAGGCCTCGCCAGGGTTAATCTTGTGTGTGACAATTGAGGACCCAGTCAGACTACCTCTCAAGTCTCTGTGTGTATAGATGTGTGTGTGTGTGTGTGTGTGTGTGTGTGTGTGACTACACATGCATCAGAGTGTCTATGTAAAGCCAGAGGTCAATGTTTGGTATCTTCCTCAGTCCCTCTCTCTATATGAGCCAGGTGGTGGTGGAGTACACTTTAATTCCAGCACTCGGATGCTGGCAGAGGCAGGCAGATCTCTGTGAATTTGAGGCCAACCTGGTCTACAAGAACTAGTTCCAGGACAGACTCCAAGGCTACAGAAAAACCCTGTCTTGAAAAACCAAAGAGAAGGTGAGAGAGCGAGAAAGAGCGAGAGAGAGAGAGAGAGCGAGAGAGAGAGAGCGAGAGAGAGAGAGAGAGAGAGAGAGAGAGAGAGAGAGAGAATGCGAATCTCAACACACAGCAATGGCTGACCTGGAACTAGCTATGTAGAACTAGGCTGGCTTTGAAACTTGAACTCACAGAGACTTGAGATCCACTTGCCTCTGCCTCCCAATTACTGAAATTGAAAGATTTCACAGCCATGTCTGGCTACCATCTCTCTCTTTTTTAGGTGGAGGGTTGGGAGGGGGCTCCAACTTTTTTGTCTCCCACCTTCTATTTTGAGACAAGATCACTCACTGAATCTGAAGCTCATCTATTTAGCTAGACAAGCTGCCCAGTGAGCTCCAAGGATTCATCTGTCTCCATCTCTTCATCCCCCATGGCTGGGGTTACAGAGGCAGGCATGCAGCAGTATCTGGCTATTTTATGAGTGCTGAGAATCTGAACTCAAATCCTTTACCATTGGAGCCATCTCCCAATCCCCATGTTCCTAACACTCCTGTGTAGAAGCTAGCTCGATTCGGGAAATAATCAGGCCAGCTTAAAGATAAACAATTATATTTTTAATTGTTATAAGGGGAAACTCACGCCACAAGAATGGGAAGTCCGAGTTCCGCTGTGTCCAGCAGGAATTACCTAGAGAGAGGGTGCACGAGCACCTGGTCCGTCCCAGTTTTTCTTCCTGGGTCTAGGTAGTCACGCCTTAACTAGGCTCCACTTTTTCTTTATTTACAATTTTATTTAGTAATAAGAGTTCAAGAGTTTAATCTAATTTTCAGATCACATCTCCTAAACAATCTTCATTCTGTTAAAGGGATGAATTAAATATCTTATTTCTTAAGAAGCTGGTGCCTTACTATGAAGAAAGGAGCAGCAAATCCAGATCCAAAGTACACAGTCATCATCGCCAGTAACCGCTATTTGTTTTCCACCGAAAATGGCAAATTCTTCCCCGGGCCCTCCTCATAGTAGCTGCGACAGACCATGGAGGTGGTGAACCTCAGGACACTCTGGCCGAACATGGTGCCGCGGGAAGATCAGTGAGGGGCGCAGGGGTGGAAGGCCTAAGAAATGGCCGCACCACCACACTCCTCTTCCTTCACAACCTTGCTCTACCGAAGTAGGCTCCACTTCTTAAAAGTGATTGGTTAACAGTGCTTCCCCCATCACTCCTGCAGTGGGAGTTTATGTCCCACTGAATCTT